TCAACCAAACATTTTCGAACTACCATCACTTTAATGGACCTTTCATCTTCATACGCCGACAAATCTCTTATAACATTTGATTCCATGATGTGGAAGCAGCCTTGATTTCTCTAAAATCTATCTGTTGATATATCAGAAAATAAAGAAAAATATTTGATGATTCAGATGAAATAAAAATCAGTTTGTAAAAATTATTTAAATAATTCAGAAAATCAATTGGAATAGTCCCTACATTACTCTTTTGATTTGAACTCAACATCCAACAAATATCGCTCTCTTCATCTTCACTCAATATGCATTGAATAAATCAGTTGGAATATTTAGTATAGATGTGTATCATGTCCCCTCATTTACATTTTCTGTATCTTAACATTCATTGAATAAATCAATCTCTCAAAAGATATCTTTTGTTTCAATTTTTTAATGAATTTAATTTATTGTTCAGTCAAATGGAATGAATATGTCAAATGTGCGTTGATGATAACTAAATCTTCTATATATTAAAAGTGGCTATGAAACGGAGGATTGACAGAAATTGTTGTTCCACTTCTTCCACTGTTAAATTTAACTGATTCAGTGAAGTAGCCATTCATCCATCCTTTGTGCCCATTTATGAACTGCATGGTGGAATTCCATTATAAGTGCCAATTATAAGTGTAACCGTTATTGGCCATTGGCCATTTTTGTCTGTTTGAATTCCAATAGTTGATAAGTGAAAATGTTGTAGGAAAACAGTGGGATGTTATACACGTTAAGAAAACCTATCAATTACATTCAATTTTCTGGTGCTAACATTTGAAAAGTGAGTGATACATTCTATTACTCTCAGTACATTGGAGGTAAGGTTTGAAGGTAGAGTGAAAAGTGAGTCTAACTTAATTTTTTGTTTATAGTATAAGTCTATCTATGTATTATATATGGGTTTTCATGTTTTTTTCCATGCCGCCTCTCTGAAATCAGATATGCTGAAGCAGATTTCCGAAGCTTACACTTTCCTCCTTAACTCTGGTAGTCCTCTCATCTTCATAGATTTTTTTTAAGGTACCTATTGGTCATTAGTTTTTTACTTCGATACAGAAAATTTAGAAGCAGCTACAATTTTTAACTTGACTCTTCAAATTTCTACAAATTCTGGGCGAGTAATGTTTCAATAGCTCGAAATT